GAGAGAGAGAGAGAGAGAGAGAGAGAGAGAGAGAGAGAGAGAGAGAGTGTTTCTGAGTAAGATCTGCCCATCTCCAACCTCTAACACTGGGGTTAGTGACATAACTAGCTTTTCCATAGGTGCTGGGGATTTGAACTCATGTCCTCTTGTTTTCACAGCAATCACTCTCAACCACTGAGTCATCCCCAGTCCCCAACCCCCAGCCTTGAACCTTTGATCCTCCTGCCTCAGTCTCCTGAGTGACAGGCATGTGCTACCACACCCAGAATACAAAAACCTTTCTTAAAGTAGGTTGAGTCTGGCACCAGGCAGGCTGAGTGTGAGCTGAGGAGGGAGTTCTGATCAGTGAGCCCTGGACTTCATGCAGTTACCCGGTAACTTACTGAATCCTCACAGTCCTCTGAGGCTGGGTTTGCTCTTGTGTCACTACCCAGATGAAGAAACTGAGACACAAGTGAAGTTTTACTCATCTAAGTCACTGCAGGGTGGAGGCAGGATTAGAATTCAGACTGACTGGGTCTCCAAGCTGGTATGCTCCACCTGGCTGCACTGGGGGAAAGGCCAGGATCCAAGCTGACAACCTAGCTAAGAAACAGCAGGAGGGGAAGAAGGTAGCAGGGAACTTTGGCAGAAGCCTGTCTCCTAATGTGACCCTGTGGCCTCAATGGGACCCTTGTCACTGGGATTTCTGATGAAAGTGACAGAACATACCCCACACACCCACATACACAAACACATACTTTCATTTATTTATTTAGTTCGTGTTCACAGGTCATTTAGCACGTGTCAACCCTGTGCCAGTGTACCACAGTCACACCTTGCAGGACTCCATCCATGTTTTGATGGAGCAAACCCCACCAAGAGCATGTGACAGGGAGGAAGTTCTAGGGAAAGCCCAGAGAGCTGCACAGTCCTGCAGAAGGAGACCCTGAGGGAAGCAAGAAGCTAAAGGATAGGTCTGTAATCCCAGCACTCGGGAGACTGAGACAGGAAGGCCATGATCTGAGGCCAGCCTGGGCTACATAGTGAAACCCTGTCTCGAAACAACCAGAGCTTAAGGTCAGTGTGTGGCCTTCCATTCAGGTGAAGGTCACCAGCAGACGAAGGTAAGTAAACAGAAGGAAAAGACAAATGTACAAGTTAGGGTGTATGAGGAGGGAGGGCCATGATCCAGGCAGGTACCTCAAGGGAGATCTGAGGAGTTCCAGTTCTTGGCCCAAGTCCCTTGTTTGTAAGGTACTTCACTGTGCTGTATGTTTTATTTATTTTTTAACATTTATTTATTTTATGTATATATCTGCATGTATCTGTGTGCCAGAAGAGGGTATCAGAGCCCAATACTGATGGTTGTAAGCCACCAGGTGGTTGCTGGGAATTGAACTCAGGACCTCTGGAAGTGTTCTTAACTGCTGCTCTTAACATCTCTCCAGCTCCATGTAGTGTGTTTTAAATTCAGTAATTTTCCCCACAATTTTAGCATATGCACACCCCCACAGGTGCACACAGCGCGTGACTGACTTACTGAGTGGAATCTGTAAACTCTGTACTTAGTAGGTTCATAAAAAGAGCACACTCCCTGGCATGTTGGCAGTATAATTCCAGTATTGGGGAAACAGAAACAGGAGGGACTGAGGGTTCCAGGCTGGCCTGGACTATGCAGTGGGACCTTGTATCTAGAAACAGAGAGGAGATGAAGGGAGAGAAGGAGAGAGAAATCGAGCAAGCTAGGGCCTCAGTGGGATGCATGGTTCAACCCAAAGGGTATGGCCTCTTTTCCAAGACAAGAACTTACTTTCTGGAGTGCACAGGGACCATAAGGAAGGAAGGTTTTTCTCAGGTTCATTGGCAGAGTATCTGCCTAACTTGCTCAAGGCCCTGGGCTCCATCCCCCAGCATAACACAAATAAATAAATAAATGAAAAAAAATTAAATATACAAAAGAAACACACCACTTCTTTTCCATGATTGTCTGGGAAAATTTGAGCCCTAGACTCCAGAATTTGCTCCCCTCCCCCCTTCTCTCAGCCCAGCACAAACCACAGAATAGAGCCAAGAACTCTGAGTCAGAAGGCCCTGCCTGCTCTGGAAAGCCAGTTCTGTGAACACAAGTCAGGTTTTCCCTGACAAGACATTTCAACACGGGCCTCTGTGTCTCTGTCTGTAAAATGGAGCTAGTAAACCAGGTACTTCACAAGTTGTTACAAAGCCCCAGTGTGTGTCAAAGGCTTTTAGGAAATACTGTGTACAACTACACACATTTTAATGTTTATTTTATTTCTTTTTAAGGTGTGGGACACAAGTCCATGAAGGTCAGAGAACAAATTGAAGGATCTGGTTCTCTTCTTCCACCACATAGGGCCTGAGCCATGTTGCTGGCCCACATTGCATACCTTTTTAACCCAGACAGGCATCTGTCTCCCACCTCTGACCACTTGAATTTGGAGGAAGCATTCAGAACAACTCCGTACTCTGACTTAGAATGTCTCCCCAGCCCTGGCTTCCAGTTTTCCAGCTCGGAACTTCAGGCCTGAGCTTCAGAGAGATTCCAGGAGCAAGTTTACCAAGTTAGAGGAAGCCAGGCAGGGGAGATGGCATTCCAGGCCGCGTGTCAGCAAGTGAGTCAGGGCTGGGATGGCCCTTTCTGGGTCCCTGGAGGTGGGGGAGGGCTTGCCTCTCTGGCTCTGGGCCTAGGCAGGGTTGCTCATTTGCATATATCTGCATATGTAAGTTTCACCTGCTTCCATTGGCAGGGCTGGGAAAGACACCTGTACAGAAAGCACAGCAGGCTCCAACTCTATGTGGCTGGCTGCCTAAGGGAGCGGCAACCCAGGATCTCGGTCCACGCTTCAGGGACCGATAAAATGTTTTTAAACCTCTGAATTGTACACTGGCTCTTTCCCTGGGCTCCCCTGTGTGCCCGGACCAGAAACTTCAGTCTTTTTCCTACCCTTCCCTGTCCCATTCACCAAGCCCACTTGGGGGTTGTCTTTGAGTCACCTTTCTCTTGCTCCCTTTCTTTCTGCTGCCTCTGCCATCACATCCTTGGGGGAGTCCCAAGGCAACCCAGGGAAGCCCCTTTACTTCCACCCAGGTCCCACTTCCCATCACTCAAGGTCACAGCACACTGCCTCCTTAGCTTCCATCCCTCCTACCTTTCCGCCAGATGAACAAAGGCCCTGCGCGTGTCTTTTCCATGCCTTGGTTTCTTCACCTGTGAAACAAGAGTAAGAACAGGACTCCCTTACCTGGACTGTGTAGCACACAAGTTCCAATAGTGACTAGTCATCATTATTATTATTTCTTTTCTCACTGCCTTCATAGCAGACATTGCTCTCCAGGAGTCTCCTCCTCTCTCTCAGGCCTTTCTCTGCTCTTGCCGCACAGTCCCCTGGCAGTTATGGTAGCCAGCTAGCCAGGGATTCTGATCGCTTTAAGAAAGGGTATTTGGGCCGGGAGGTGGTGGCCCACGCCTTTAATCTCAGCACTTGGGAGGCAGAGGCAGGCGGATTTCTGAGTTCGAGGCCAGCCTGGTCTACAGAGTGAGTTCCAGGACAGCAAGGACTACACAGAGAAACCCTGTCTCGAAAAAAACAAAAAACAAAAAAAGAAAAGGTATTTGGCCCTTTTGTGCCTCAGTGTTCTCATCTGTAAAAGGGAGGATAATGTACATATCTGTATTGTATATGGACTCTACCTTATACAGAAATATTGTAATCATTAGATAAAGAGAGGCATTTAAGTCCTTAGCACAGGGCTTGGCACACAGACGACATATGGTATAATCATTCCTGTTATTCATAACAGAGGACTCAAGTCCCCAGAGTACCTACCTCTTCTAAATCTAAGGCCCTGGGACAGGTTTCTCCAGTCCCTTAGTACTGTCTCCAGATACCAGGTCTTCACCTGGATCCTCCAGTGGCCCCAGACATCCAGGGGAGAAGGAAGGACCTGGCCCGCCAGCCCTTTTGTGTGAAAAGCAGCAGAGGCACCATTGGGTTGAATGATAGTTGGGAATATAGGCTCAGCTCCCTGTCAAGGCACTTGGGGTGCAGAGAGCTAATGGACAGTTGCTGCAGCCCCTCCCCCACCACACACACACACACACACACAGAGAGAGAGAGAGAGAGAGAGAGAGAACGAGCAGTCCAGCCCGGTTGGCCTAAGCAGTTGCAAACGTTAATAGCCCATTTCACTTTCCCAAGGAGGCCAGTGACCCTTGACACATCCCCCACCCCTGACCACAGCCGGCTCTGCCTGCTCTCTTCCCTCTCAGTACCTCCTCCAGCCCCTTTCCGCAGCAGTTGAAGAACTCCAGGCTGGGTGATCTTCTTCCGGTTGGAACTGAAGAGGGTGGTCTATGATGCAGTGTAGAGGGGCCCTGGAGTGGATGCAGAAGATACGGTTCTTCCAGCCAACACATCCCTCCTCCTGGCTAGCCTTCCCCCTTACAGCAGCGTGGGGCTGGCTTGAAGGAGAGGGAGGGGGTTACTCTGAACTGCCTTTAATCTTCCCTTTGTTGCCCCCTCCCCCTGCCCTCTGTAAACAGAGAGAAAGCCACCAGGAATTGATTTTGTTTGTTGCTGGGCAGGTTATAGTATTGTTTTGCAGACATGATTCTTTGTCTCATTTTGGGATTTTGCGCAGCTCCCTGGGCCATTCAAAGTCTGTTCCTTAAAACAGTATTTCCCCATCCTCCTGGACCCAGAGCTACAGACTTTGAAGTCCAAATTGTGATCCTGGGATGGCCAATAGCCTACCCTCCTTTTAAATCATGAAGGAAAAAAAAAAAGCACAGAGCGACAAGGAAACTGACCTCCACTGTCCGAGTGAAACCAACAACCCACACCCGTATAAAGACCCTTCGCCTACCGGGAAGGCAGAGTGAGCCCTGCGTTGGGTGTTTAAATGGTGCGTGTGGAGTGTGTATGCAAAGTATGAGAGTGAATCACCTATAAGCGTGTGCCGTTCCTCAGAGCAGATTTGTGGGTTCTGCTCTGTGTGGTGGGTGCCCCTGCACACACACTGGCTTTCTCTTATCCGTTGCCCGTTACAGGCATTTTTCTAACTCCAGGCTCCCTTCCAGTCTTCACCTCGCTGGCTAGCGAGGAAGACCAGAGCGCCAAGTCTGAATTTCTGTGTGGTACAGGGATTTGAGGAAGGTTACAGACCAAGCCAAGCCGCCTTCGTTCCGGACCGGGCAAATTCGTTGCAGGCGGGTTGGCCTCCCGCAAGCTTGCAAAGTTTGGAAGGCTTCTGGTGTATGCTCCCTGAGGTTATTCTCTACCCGTTCGGCTCCCTATGGGGGTCCTCGACCTTAACTGGTGGGCGATATGGGACACTCTGCCAAGAAACCCTGCGTCACCCAGCTAGGTCTGGCCTCAGTCCCGGCGCTCCGCGAAGCTCAGCACGGAGTGGCTTCCTCCCCAAGCCTAGCGCCACCGAAACACTTTTCTTCCAACACTCCCTGATTTTGAGTAACTGTTTTCTTTTGGAGACGGTGTCCTGGTCAAAGAATTATTCAGAATTAAGCTCTCAGCATTGGCGTCTTTCGTGTACTTCTGTATTTAAAATGTCCGGGTCAATCTCAGGTAGACCTCTTGGATGTTAAACAAAGAAAACGGAGACTGTTAGGGTGGGGTCGCCGCTAAGATCTTGTGGGAGCCCCACGCCAAGTGGTGCCTGGACAGGGTAGCGCTGACCCCAAGACTTCTCCTCTCCTGATCCACGGACACCATCCTTAGGATTATTTGGAAAGCAACAAGCAGAAAGAGCTCTCCTCCCGGTGGGAAGTAGAAATGAGCTCAAGGGAAAGCCCCGGGACCAGCAGGCGCCTTCAGCTCCCACTCCAGCACCCAGGGCTCACCAAATGCTGCATCAGAAAGAGCAAAGGAGACCTGGCGGTTCCGAATCTCACGCAAAATGGATTGAGGGGCGCTGGCTTCCCCAGACGGCTCCTTTTCCAGGCCTTGGGAATACGGGGCTCTATCGTAGAGAAGAGGCAGATTGGAGGGAGGTTGCTGCAAGATTGAATTTAGTTTCCCCAAACCTACGGCCCCTCCTAATAGAACTTTAAAGTCTGCTGAGAGCAGATGAACACAAAACCAAGATTTTTTATTTTTAACAGTGACCATAGAGGAGGAGAAAAGGGGCGTGTGTAATTCCAAAATGACCACCAAGCCCGCAGAAATCTGGTGGGGAGTGAGAATCTCTATTTCTCCGAGAGCCGATCGGTTCGAGTGAGGCGTGGACCTGTAGTTTCAGAAGTCCACGCCTGACTCGGGCAGCACTAGCCACCCTTACGCTGTACTGAGCTCTTCAATTGTGCCGCGGGAAGCTCTTGGTTGTGAACAGCCAGGAAAACTCCGCTGTTTCAGATGGGGATTCTGCTACAGGAGGAGCAGATAGCAGCCTTAAGCAGGGAATATATCCTATATAAGTCCACAAATTAGCAAAACCCAAATGTGAGCGGAGCGCGATAACGCAAACCTTTAATTCCAGAAACTTGAAAGACAGAAGCAGCCAGATCTCTGAGATCTCTGTGGGTTCCAAGATAGCCTGGTCTACACAGTGAGTTCCAGGATAGCCAGAGCTACATAGTGGTACCCCGGCTACAAGTCTAGCAAAACAAACCACACAAGCGCCATACTGGTGAGTACTAAGTATCATTGGGTCAGGTTGCCCCGACTTCCCAGCTTCCCTGCGACTCACACCTCTGCTAATAGTAATTATAGAAATGGGTTACTTTGTCCCCCTCCTTCCCTCTCTCCCCTCCCTCCTTCTGTCTTCCTCTCCCTCCCTTCCTTCCTCTCCTCCTTTTCTCCTTCTTTGTTTTCTGTTTTTGGATTCTGGATTCTTAGTTTTCTGTTGTTGGATCCTTGCAAACCACCATACAGCAAACAACAGAAGGTTGGAACCTCCTCAGTCCAGGTCCCTCCTTGCCCTGAGCATTCTAGTAGGAACTAGCTGATCTAGCCAGCTACACGGAGGCTGTGCTAGGATGGGAACCCAGGACTTCCCTTTCTCTCCAGTAGCACCAAGCACTGCCCTCCCTAGCTCACAGGGCATTATTTCTACTTTTCTTCAGGTTGAGAGGATGATTCTGTTTTAGGGATGGGTGCCTAGGATGATGACTAGGTGTACCAGCAAGTGCTTGGGTTCCTCATACCTCATGCTGAAGATGCAGTGAGGCTGGTGATGTTGGAGGGAGACAAATAGTAACTACCTTTCTTAACAGGGTTCTTGGGAGGATGCACAGAACTTATGAATTCCATGGGGTCGCTGGATCAGTACAGGTCCAACTTTCCTTCAGGATGCTCCTAAAAAGCTTAGAGGAGGTTATTTACTAAGGACCTTGCTTTGGAGGTGATCCAGTGACCAGCTAGCCTATCAGAACACTCACCTCTGCCCTTCCTCTAGCACAGAAAGGATTCTGATTGCCTGCCCCTGGAGGTGTCTCCCATCATCCTTTCCACTCCAGCTATAAAGTACCCCCTTAGGAAACCTGTCCTCACAGCCAGCCCCACCTCAAAGGACATCCTCTTCCTTTGAATCTTACAGCTAGAGAAAGATCCCTGGAAACACCACAGCAGCCTCCTTTCTGAAGAACAGAACAGCCAGGCGGTGGTGGTGCATGCGTTTCATCCCAGCACCTGGGAGGCAGAGACAGGTGGATCTCCGAGTTCAGTGCGAGGCCAGCCTGGTCTAGTTCCAGGATAGCCGGGGGCTAAACAGAGAGAGATCCTGTCTTAAAAGACCAAAAGAACAGAACAGTGCTAGAGAGAGAAAGGCTTGGAAGGCAATGTCTTCAGATGCTCATAGCCCTGGCTTTAAGGAGGGAAGCATGCTGAGACCTGGGAAAAGGTCTCACATGAAAATAACATTCACCTACCAAGCAAACTCCTACACCTTCCCCAGCCAACCAGACAGAGGGTCTCCTACAGAGCCCCCTCATCAGAGCTCCGGGATTACAGGGTAGAGACCTCTATGGCAGTGGTGAGCAGGCATTTTCCTGGAGAAACTAATTTCTGTGCAATTGGGTGTGTGTGTGTGTGTTATTTTTCTCCTGTCCATGAGTTTCAACAGCCCCAATAAAGTTCCTAAAGTTTTCTCTTTTTGTTTATTTATTTATTTTTATTTCATGTGTATGGGTGTTCTGTCTGGGCACTATTTACATGCCTGGTGATCAGAGAGGCCAGAAGAGGTCTTCAGATCTCCTGGAACTGGAATTACACATGGTTGTGAACTTCCATGTGGTTGCTGGGAATTGAACTGGGTCTTCTGGAAGAAGCAGCCAGTGTTCTTAACTGGTGAGCCATCTCTCCAGCCCCCCAGACTTTGTCTATTTTAGAAGGCCTACATCTGCCCCAAGCCTAGTGCCTTCATCTACTCTTCCAGTCTTGCCTTTTCCTCTAATAGCTGTCTGTCCTCTTTCATCTACCCAACACCCCACGATTGTCACCTTCACTCTGAGCCCTGATCTCTATGTGTGTGTCTGTGTGTGCAAGCATGAAGATGGCATGTGTAACAGAGGGATCGAGTGTGTGGGGTTTTCTAGGGAATCTGTGAGAACTTGTCGGGTACAGAGTAGAGCTGGGCAGTGGTGGTGTTTGCCTTTGCCTTTAATCCCAGCACTCCCGAGGCAGAGACAGGTGGATCTCTGAGTTCCAGGCCAGTCTGGTCTACAGAATGAGTTCAGGACAGCCAGGGCTACACAGAGAAATCCTGCCTTAGAAAACCAAACCAAGAGAGCTTTCATTATGTAATAATGAAAGCTCAAGTCTCTTTCATTATGTAAAGCAGCTTAGATGTGTGGGGAAAGGTATCCCCCATAGGGTAGGACATGAGCATATATGCTCATACGTTTAGATAGCCTTATTTTTGAGAAGGAACATTAGTAATTTGACTTGTCATTCATGGGTATATGTGCCAGGTACGGTGCGTTTTAAATAAAAAAATATTACATTTATTTGTTTTTGTGTTGTGTGTGTGTGGGGGGGGGGTCCATGCCTAACAGAGGCCACATGTGGAGCTCTTGGGAGTTTGTTCTTTCCTCCTCAGGTTTGGTGGCAAGACTCTTTGTCCACTGAGCCATCTCATCAGCCTTAATCCTGTGCTTCCCTTCAAAGAGTTGCCCATGGCTGGGTATGTAGCTATATGTATATACACCACACCTTCAAGTCTGAGTTTGCAGGTCCATGAATGAGCCGCCTTTCGTAGAGGGATATTGGTATACGGCAATATATGTTGGATGAAGTTTCTGTGTATTTTTGCGCATGTGGCAACAGATGCTTGCACGAATATGGATACATGTTGCTTAATGAACATGATACATGTCCTCCTGTCCTGCTTCGAGGCAGGTCCTGAACACAGCCTGGAAGTACAGAGGAGCTAGCCATATTTTCTGTGCCCTCCCAGGAACCATCAAACTAGACTCATCCCCACTCCTAGATTTTGCCCCAGTTCCTGCCAGGCTACATTTTGCACAGAGTGCCAGGAAAGGCGGGGCTCAGTACAGGCGAGTCCCAGACAGCAGATTCCCTCCAACAGTCTCAAGGGCCTGCAGGAGCTGTGGTGTCGCAACTAAACTGGGGCCCCTGCCGGAAGTGGAAGCTTGCATTGGGGGTGGTGAGGCGCAGTCGCGGCGGTCGCGGCGTGCCAGGCTCTGGGCGCTCGGCGGGGGCGTGCGCGCCACGCGCGTGCGGGGCAGGCTGGGCGCCAGGTGGCACCCTCCAGGCCCCAGCGTCTGTTTACCAACAAACTGTCATCGCTCTGCAGCTACGCATTCCGACGCGCTGAATAACCGGCCGGCGCTGGCGATCTGCTTTCCACTCCCTCGCAGAGCCCTGGCAGCGTGGGGCCATGCAGACCCGCGCGACACGCAGAGCGCGAACACAGGTTCTGAGTCCCCAAAGCGAAGCGTCTCTAGTTACCGCGCAGTTCCCCTCGTCCCTTAGCCATCCCAATTCCTAGCACCTTGAAAATCATTACCGAGACTTCCTGACTCTACGATCCCCCAGGAACTCGGAGTAGACGCAGGGATGTAGGGTCGGGAGCTCGCACCCCTCCTGTTTCCCTGTGCACGCTAACGCGGGAGAGGGGGTAGGGGAAGGGGGGGCGGGCCCAGCTTTGAGCCTCCCTGAGGTCACCGTGCAGTAGCCAATCCAGGGTGTCTAAGTGGGCGGGGGACCCTTGGGGTCCCGGGAACCGAATCCAGAGGAAAAGATGGAGGAGGGGTAAAAACCACGGAGCACCCCAAAACCCCTTTCCCGGGTGCGAGCTCTCTTCTCGAAGAGGCTCAGAGAGACACTTTTCCTGGGATCTGTATGAGGGTGGCTTGCTGGAGACTTTGAAAGGAGCTGGCAGAGAGAGTAGACGGCGTGCAGGCCATGACCTAGGCCCTGTGGTCCGGCATCTGCCGCAATGACCTCTTTACCCTGTGCTCTTCCTGGCCACGGTGCCTCCAGCGTTGTCTTCCCGGACCTCGCCCCCGCCCCGTCCGTGGTGGCTGCTTACACGCTCGGACTATCCCCCGAAACCGCAGCTTCCCCCGATTTGTCCTACTCCCAGTCCTATGGCCACCTCCTGTCCTATTCCTACCCTGGGCCAGCAACCCCAGGAGACTCTTACCTGCCCAGCCAGCAACAATCGGTGGCACCGTCTCAGTCTTTTCACCGGCCAACTGAACACCCGCAGGAACTCGAAGGGGGTAAGGGTGACCTCGGCGGCTCTTTTCACCTCTGGGGTCTGGGTTGTCTTTGCATAAATTTCGCGCTCTTCTGCTTGCACGCAGCTAGAGGGATTCAAGCGTTTCTCTCTCGGATACCCTGGAATCTGCGTTAGGGGGAGGGCGAAGGATGGGGGAGGAGCGGAGGCAAGTTGATCTAGGTCTTCTTTTTAAATCAGACCTGGTTTCGATTTGCCGTTTTTTTGTAAAGCCAGGCGGGAGGGCTCCCCACCCGGTCTCCTGGAGCAGTAGAGTTGTGTATGTACCTGTGTAACGGAGAACTGTCATAATCCAGATGGAGGGGTGGAGACCTAACCCCTTCCCCGCGATTCTCCTCATCCTTCACTCCGTTCCCGACATCATCCCTCTTGAGTTCTGGTCTCAGAGACCAGTAATAAAACAAACACCACTAAACAGAAATCAATTCCCAGTCGGAGGTAGGTAGACAACTAGGCGGGGTTCCTTCTCTTTTCCTGGGCCCCACCCCCTTTTTCCTAGAGGTGCCTAACCCTGTTTGCTAACTGGACCCTGCAGAATCTGGGTGTAGGACCCCACCAACTGTTGCTCAAAGAATAGACTTACAGGCTAGTCTTACCAGTCTCAAGATCTTTCCCTGGCCTCCTCTGCCTCGCGCCTATGCCATTCTTACCGTCCCTCTTCACCCTTAACATTGGGGTACATTAGACCCAGTTCCTGTTGCCTGCAGCAAATAGGAGCTCCAGAGAAAATGCTCAGTGAAGACAAAGGAACAGCTGGTCTTCCTAGCCCTGACCTATGCACAGCCCAAACGACAGCCCCTGGCTGGCAGTATGAGGATGCTATCTATCCACAGACCCACTGACTCCCGGAACATCGCAATGGTCCAGTTGTTCTTGGCATAATCCTCAAAGATGCATGTCTGCTATGTAACTTCACGTAGTCAGTTCCAAACCAAGACATTTCTTTCCTTTTCCCTTGTCATTCTGGTGTAAATATATGACACATACAAACACCCAGGACCAAGGACACACTAGAATAGGGGCTCAAATTCCTTGTTCTATGGTTGGAGAAACTGAGACAGAAAGATTCAGGACACAACTTCTTTTCCAGGCTCCCGGCCCTGGTCAAGTTCACTTTCCTCAATGAATGGAGCCAGGAAAGGGGACTTCAGGGAACTTCTCAGGACCCCAGAAAGTTAAAAGCCTTCTGGGGCAGAGTGGGGGGTGGGGCTGCTGGGTTGCTGGGTCTTGTTGGAGGAGGGACAGTCGGGGATGGCAGAGTTTTACATACAAATCAACAAAGGAACCTCTTAGGCTCTTCTCTTTAGATATGCTAATATACACTGGGGAAGTAAAAGCAAGGGAGATCCTCAGTTTGAGGACAACCTGGGCAATCTGCTCTGCCTCCTGTGTGTGCATATGAGGACAGTGTGCATTTTGGGACTGAGGCAGAAGAACTTATTGGGAGACCTATCTGGCAATAATGTGAAGTTGTCTTCCATGTGCCTGCCCTTGCTTGGTCCAAGAACAATGGACTGGAGAATTCTTTCTATTTTATGTACTTTACCCGGATCCAACGAAAAATAAAATAAAACAGACGCTGTGTTCACAAGCAGATACTTTTTAAAAAAATATACCGTAGCATTTCGCTATTGAAATTGTGTGGGCCGCCCATTCTTGAAAGAATAATTGGAGTATGAGAGAGGGCTTGGGGTGTCCTAAACCCATACTACGTGTGTACCTCCATCCCAGGGAGGCATTTGGCTCGGAAAGAGCCTAGCAACACCCCGTTGAGGCTGCGGGTGCGGCTGCCGCGCCTCCACGGACGCCCTGGGGACCCGTTATCGAGGCTGGGGTAAATCCAGTTGTGACTTGCCAAAACTAGTGTGGAAAAGGCAGCTGTTCCGGAAGGCACCTGGAAGGTGGTCTGCTCTACGAGTTCAGCAGTCCAGGCTGTCTTCCTTCGCTTTCTGCTCGTTATTACCCGAACTGCGCAGTCCAGGCAGCCAAGAAAGCATGAGTGGTCGCTTGGCTGCCAGCCCCAGGCGAGCAGTAGGGGTCAAAGTAGGAAAGACAAGATGGGCGCGGGCGGAGCGGAAACCGAATGGTTTTTCTGGGAATTGGCTGAGGTTGGGATCCAAGAAACAGGATTTGAGGACCACAGCCCCCAAGGCCACCGGTGAGGGATGTGGGGGAAGTGAAGGCAGTGGTGACTGCGGGGGCCCACAGCCCGAGACTCTAACATGTGTTGGGTAAACCCAACTAGGAATGGATGGGGGAGCGAGTGGAAGGACAGAAGCTGTGACCGCTGCCAGGATACAGAGACATCTTACACACACACCCCTCTATTCTGGGGTCCTCATTGTAGACCCGCACGAAATGAGGCAACTGTCACCCCAACATTTTGTCAACCTGGGCAGGCATTTTGCCTCTTTACCTTCCTACTTCTCATCCTTTTGGACAGTCTCAGTATCCCATAAAATGGTTCAGGTTGGGGCCCCGGGTTCAGGAATGGAAACCAAAGGCCTCAATCTTGACCCCAACCTGAAAGCCTTTTCCTAGAGAATCAGGTTGGTATTGGGAGTTGGGGGTCTATGGGGAGTACCAGATCTTATGCCACAGCCTCACAGCGTTGACATAATATAACAACCTTTATTGCTGGCAGATCGCAAAGCTTTTTGGACCTACCACGAGGGAAGTGCTCTGTACTTGTGGCCCACAGGAACACAAGGCTACCACACATCGATCTGGCTTCTAGATCCCTGAAAAGCCTCCCCTGAGCTAGCCAGCCCTTGGGGAAGAAAAGGATGGACCTTTTTCCTGCAGGGTACACAAGGACTCACGTTTCCTGGCTTGATATTAGCACTTAAGGCTGACTTTTACAGGCCCCCTTCAGAAGCAAGAGATTGCCACTCACCATACCTCTGAGCTTTGAGTATTGTAGGTTTCTTGAACCTTGGATGCACTGCTCTGATCATCTCCAGACCTTAGCTCAGCTCTCCATGAAGTCTCTTGCCCTGTTCTAGTCTGAGCAGGCCCACCAACCAACCAACCAACTCCCCTGCCCCCTCACTGCAGGAGCCTGGGCACCCTTACTTGGCCCCTTGGTGGGTTCTGTTCTTAGGTCCCATACTGGTAGCTTCAACAGGACAAGAATTCAAGAACTGCAGTTTGTATCAACAGTCACTGGTGTTGAAATGGCAGGGATAGGTAAGGCTCCCTCCATTGCGCACACACCGAGGCTCTCGGGTGGATGGTGAAGGCTGCGTTGTTTTTGCCGATTGCCCATGGGGTGAGATGCAATGAGCTTATTAAAAATGCCTGACTTACCCAGTCCCTTCGCATGCTTACAGCTCAGTGTTCTTCTGCCTCCTAGAATCAGAGAAGCTGTCACTGTCTCTCGAGCCCTCCCAGCAGTCCCTGACCAGGAAGCTGCGCAAGCCTAGAACCATCTACTCCAGCCTGCAGCTGCAACACCTGAACCAGCGTTTCCAGCATACCCAGTACCTGGCCCTGCCTGAGAGAGCTCAGCTGGCAGCGCAGCTGGGACTCACCCAAACCCAGGTATGGCCAGTCCTGTCCCTGCCCAGGGCAAAGCTTCCTAGTCCTCACTTCCTGAGAACCCACAAAGGAATCCCATGATTTTGCTGACACAGCTCTTGATAAGGAATGCCCACAGCTGGTTCGAAGTATGAGTTTGGGGTACATATTAGGGGGGAATGGGGCTCAAGAAGAGGAGTGTACCCAGAGACTGAGACTAAGGGAGTCCGGAATTAGAGGGCTGGAACCAAGGTCCCCAGGACTCACCCTCTGTGACCAGGCCCCTTTCCCTTTCCACACCTTTTCATAGACACTCCTAATCTGTTCTCTTTTCCTCTCAAAGGTAAAGATCTGGTTTCAGAACAAACGCTCCAAATACAAGAAGCTCCTGAAACAGAGCTCTGAGGAGCCGGAAGAGGACTTCTCTGGGAGACCCCCCTCCCTGTCTCCTCACTCTTCAACTCTCCCATTCATCTGGGATCTACCCAAGGCAGGCACCCTGCCTACCAGTGGCTATGACAGCAGCTTTGGTGCCTGGTATCAGCATCACTCCCCAGATGTGCTGGTGCTGCCTCAGATGATGTGAGTCTGGAGGGAGGCTGGTCAGGCTTCAGCTCTCTTGTCAAGCCCAGGACCTGCGCACCTGCTCTCCTTCTGGGAGGAGAGGAAACCAACTCCAGATGGATTTGCTCAGAAGACAAGAAGCTAAAGGAGAAAAAGGGAAAGAATGGAGTGGAAGCCTGGCTCTCCAAGCCAGGGAGCTAATCAGCGGCTTTAGACAGCCACAGTCTTGCCACTCCCCCTCCTTTCAGATGACTGCAGCCCCAGCACAGGCCTAGGGTCCAAACCAGGAAGAAAACAAATATTATTTCTGGCCAGACAGTCCTTCCATAAACAAAACCAGAAGTGGACACAGAGTCTCTGTTGTTGGCCACTGCAAAGTCTCCAAGTTTCATTTTCTAATTATTGGTGGTGGCCCAGTGGTAGAGTAAGTGATTAACATGTATGAAGCCCTAGCACCAAAACAAAACCATGGAGTGTCGGCCCGTGGGCAGCTCATACGTCTCTCTTTGAAATGGCTCTCTACCGCCATGTCCACCCATTTCTAGTTGATAGTCGTGGGCTTAATCGTCCATGTAATTCAACAGATCTGCATTGAGAGCCTCGGCCCATGACTCTCCGTCCTTAACACCTAACAAGTCCACTTGCGTGTATTGTCGGAAGCCCAGAAGGAGAAATGGGACAAACAGATTCTCTGGATCAGTGCAGGCATAGCTGCAAATGTGGGGTAGCCTTGGCACCTCAGCTCCGATGTTGCCTCTATCCAAAAAACTGCTCCGATGCACTGTGACTCTGTCCAGCATTCCCAGGGACTTGTCATCTCTCAAATCATAAGCTTCAGAGAGTAAAATGTATACAAAAAAGCAGAGTCCTGAGTGTTCAGCATATTTGTCTTCTGTATTCATCCTGGTTGGAGCTGGCGTTCAGCTTGTCTTCTCTCTCATCTGATATATCCTCCCTTTCACCAGAAGTCATAGATGCTACTTTTTTGTTTGTTTGTGTGTTTGTTTGTTTTTGTTTTTTGTTTTTGTTTTTTGAGACAGGGTTTCTCTGTGTAGCCCTGGCTCTCCTGGAACTCACTCTGTAAACCAGGCTGGCCTCGAACTCAGAAATCCACCTGCCTCTGCCTCCCAAGTGCTGGGATTAAAGGCTTGCACCACCACTGCCTGGCTGACACTACTTTTTAAATTCATGATTTTTTAAATTTTATTTTATATGCATTAGTGTTTTGCACACATGTATGTCTGTGTGAGGGTATTGGAACCCCTGAAACTGGAGTTACAGACAGTTGTGAGCTGCCATGTGGGTGCTGGGAATTGAACTTGGATCCTCTAAGAAGAGTACCCAGTGCTCTTAACCACTGAGCCATCTCTCTAGCCCAACACTAGATTCTTGTTGTGCCTCTGCCACCAGGTAGCTCTGTGGTTCTAGCTCTGGATCATCCTGAAAGTCCCTATGGCTTCACATGAAATGGGAAGATGCTCATGCACAGAGCAGCTCAGTCAGAATGGTCTTCCCCAGCAGACACCTCCTGGGGCCAGTTAAAGAGGGAGCTGGGCACTTCACAGCCACAGTGTTTCACATTCAATCCAGATTGTCCTTGGGAGAGGACTAAGTTAGGTCAGTCCTCCTGGAAGAAGTGATCTGCTGGAGGTGGAATGGCTTTAGCCTACAGAAAGGGGTGGGGGAGGAAGAATACTAGAAAGAACTGGAATTCTCCATCTAACACACATCTGTGGATCTCCTGCTGGGCAGCTCCTAGGGAGAGAAGCATGGCCAGGACAGGTGCTTCAGGCTAACACGTGGCTGAACGGAGGACTGGAGGCAGTGTGACAAGAAGCAAAGGAAAAGCAGGACAGAGGCCGTTTGGGCACTGTCCAGAGGCTATAAGTCCAGTGTGGGCTGGGTGAGAAGACTGGTCAGCTCCCAGAGCATCAGGACCACAGCCCCGCGATTCATCCTGTGCCACAGCTCCTACCTTACTTACAGCATGGGGGTGGGCGGAGGACAGGGTCAGCCCAGAGTGCCCCTGGGGGCTGGGGAGGGGCCTCCAGTTCCAGGCAAAAGGCTTCAAAGGCTAGCTTCCTCTCACTGCCTGAACCTGTTCCCAATCACATCAAACTGAGGGCACCAGTCCTTGGCTGAAAAGCCCAGTAGGGCACTTCCAGCCAACCCTGAGCTAGAAAGAAATTTGGTTTGGGGTCATAGGGAGGACAGAGGGATATTGCATTCAGTGGAAGGATCTCACCTCGGATGACTGTACACATTTCTTCTTTGTCCCACTACTGGGTCCGTGGTCACACCCAGTCCCCCAGAGACTCAGGGAAGATCGCCTCTTGGGCAGCAAATAGCAGGTCATAGGGCAGAGTGGAGTGAGCCCCCCGCTGTACCCACTGTAGAGACCCCCATCTCCTTCTCCCTTTCACCCCGCCTTGGACCCTGGTTCCATTGCTCTAGGGGTGGATGGCCCCAGATAGCTCCTCTAGGTTTTCTTTGAGGCCAAGGGCCCTGGGGGTGCTGTTCCCTGCCATGCAGGCTACACACTCCTCTTTCCACAGAGCAAGATAAGATCTACCGCCCCATCTCGGAAAGCCTCCAAAGGCAGATTAATTGGACAGCCCAACACGAGTCGCATCGTTAAAACAACAGCCTGGGTTGTAAAGTTAAATAGCAGAAGCATAATTGTTCTCCCAGTCAGCGACCAGCTGAGCCTGCGGCACCCCTTCCCTTACCCCCGTGCGCCCTTTCCAGGGAAAATGAGACTCTTCTCCACTTGGGACCTAGTCCAGTTGCCTCGAACTTCTAGGTGGTGATGGTCCTGGAGGAATCCCAACAAGAAAGGTGCCTCGTCTCCATCTCTCTAGCTGCCATGGTAGAACCTGTAGTTCCCCTTCCCAGGATGAAGCTCCATTGGGAACACTGTATCAACAAAGCAAAGGGAAGATGGAAGGTAGACTTTGGTCTCCAAAGTTGTCCCAGGAGTGAACACTTGCTTTCTTTGTGTTAGCCTTGGCTGTACTGGAATTCACTCTGTAGACTGGGGTAGCCTTGAACTCAGAGACCTGCCTGTCTTTGCCTCCCAAGCACTAGGATTAAAGGCCTGTGCTACTGCCACCACAGCGGCTGCCTCCAGGCTTGCAGAGTTTCTTAACCTCTCTGTGCTTTCTTTCTTATTCCCTCAGACAGGAACAATAATAGGATTTGCCTTGCCATATAGTTGTGTTGATGAATTGATAAAATGCCTGTAACAGCCTTGACATAGTGCCTGGAACACAGTAAGCACTTTATAAATGACATTCACATCTGCTGCGGTGGCAATAGGAGGGGACAGCCTCCTTCCAGGGTGAGTTCCTCTCACCTAAGCAGATAAACCTGCCTCCCCAGGATAGGGAGGAAGGATGGGGCTGGAGCTAGACCCCAGCACATCCGGGGCAACATTGTTAGAGGGCAGGACTCGGGCAAGGTCCTCTACTCAAAGTGGGCAGTGGCTTTGCCCATGAAACATCATCTGAGGCTACAGAACAGGAGCAGTGTGTCCAGGGCACACGCTGTCATGTCCATGGTCTCAGTCACAGGAAAGCGGCCTCCTTCTGGGTAGCCCACCCCCCACCGCTCCCCTGTACTATTTTAAGGCATGTCCCCCACTCTCTCCCCCAGACCAAATGAGATTCAATTAATTCAATTAAAGCAATTTGGAAGCAGCTCCTGAAGGCTTTGGATGTGAGATAATTACCAGTAATTTGCTTCTGTGAAGAGGAAAAGGTTACACGGGGTCTAGCGTAGGGAAGGAGGCAGCCCTCTCCTCACCAAATGCACCCAGATCTAGAAGGATTCCACACAGCAATCTTAGCTGCCCTCCCATTGGCCAAATTGTTTGCAGGTGGGAAGAAGGAGCATGTGGCTGGTGGGAGGGGGTGGGAAGACCCTGGGATGATGGGCTGCCCCTCCTCCATCCCCAAATCTACTGTGCCTGTGTGAGGTGGGGGTGGGGCTCACTCCTCCCTCCCACCAGGACACTCCAGGACTTCGTAGCTCTGGCAGCTGATTACTCACCCAGTCCCAGCCTCACTCGGGCTCGGATGCCTGGGCTTGCCTCTGGGATTGGATCCAGAGGCGCTGGAATGTGATCCAGGTAGCTGAGGCCCGTGTAGACGGAGCTTTGGAGATCAAGGACCTTCCTAGAATTTATAGGGGATATGGGTCAGTGGGGCAGGATCTACTGGAGGTGGACAGTGACCACCTGTTCCCAAGTCTCTTGAGATGCCCTCTGTGTCCCCCCTCCCCCAATCTCCCCGACCCCCACACACTCCAGCACTTACTGGTTCTGACAGGAGTTGAATCAAAATCCCTTCCATTGTCTTGGTGGAAATCTGCTGTTTGGCTGGCCCCAGGGCCATTGAAGCTTCTTCCTTCCCAAAAGCATATTATAGGTAGGTTCCACTGTCCCCACCTCAGTTTACCTCAGATAGCCCTTTCCTCGACAGGCCTCAGGTAGCCTAGAAGCTGAGGAGGATAGGGCTGAGTGGGAAGAGGGGACCTCTTTCCTTGGGATGATGCCCTGTTTCAGGTCATCATGATTTAACAATTAAGATGTGGACAAAAAGGCACTGGTTATGGACACATGCCTATCATCCCAGCTGAGGCAGATCTCGGTGTGAGGCCAGCCTGGTCTAGGAAGTGAGTTTTAGAACAGAGCAGTCAAGGCTACAGCCTTGTTCTGAACTGTCTATCATGGCCTGTCTTCCACCTTTGCTATTCCCAAAGGAGTTTCTCAGCTCTTTTTTTTCTCCCCTCTGCACCCCACTTTCTCCCAGCTGTGGGCCTATTGGTGGTGGGGCCAGGGATGTGTTCAGTGAATCCTCCATGGCTGCCGCCTCTTCCCAATGGGCAAGCTCCTAGCTGGAAGCCTGTGTCTCCTCCACTCCATGCCTCTTCCTCTCATGCCTCAGCCAGTCAGATCCAGTACAAATGCAACAATACAAAGACCCTGTCATTCCAGAGTGCATGCTGACAGGTGGGTCCAAGGATCCTGGCATGGGAGTCACACGAGTGTTAGAAGGTAGAGACAAGAGGACCAGTAGTTTAAGGTTATCCTTAGCTACATCGCAAGTTCAAAGCAGTCTGGGCTTAATGTAACTCTGTCAAGGAAGAAAGGGAGGGAAAAGAAAAAAAACTAGAAAAGAGGTTGGGTATGATCATATATGCCTTTAATTCTGGAATCCCAGGCTAGCCAGGGCTACTATATAGGGAGATCCTGTCTCAAAAATAAATTAAATAATAAATAAATAAAGATTTAAAAAGAAGCCTCTCCTTCTCTGTGTGTGTGTGTGTGTGTGCGTGTGTGTGTGCATGTGTGCAGGAACACAGGCTGTATTTCTCCCTCTGGCTTCTCTCGTACTCCATCCCTTTCCCTACCTAATGTTTTCTCCCATATTCCTTAGGTGCTGCTGGGAGGGAGGCTAGATGGCCTCTCAGATGATTTCATGTTCTTTGCTCGCTTCTTTTTCTG